CGAATGCGGACACCACAAGGGTGCATACCCTGCTGAACCCCCTGGGAATCGCCGTGGACATAAGACGAAAGGTTCAGCGCCCCAGCCCGACGTTGAACCGGCGAAAAAATGTTTAGTGGACCAGAGCTTGCGGCGTCCAGAGTCGGACAAAGTGNCACCCTGGGAATCGCCGTGGACATAAGACGAAAGGTTCAGCGCCCCAGCCCGACGTTGAACCGGCGAAAAAATGTTTAGTGGACCAGAGCTTGCGGCGTCCAGAGTCGGCCAAAGTCTGGAACCCCAAGCAAAGAAAGAGGACGTTTTCTGCCCTGCCCGTGCGATGTATGCAAGGGCACACGTGGAGGATGGTGATAGTTAGCCTGTACTGCCGGGTCGAGACGAGCTGGACACACGTAAAAAAAAGGAAATATTTGCCTACCGGTTCGAAAGGCCGTTCGGTCAGTTAGGCGGCAGTCGCCCAGAATTTCGGATGGTAAAGGAAATGAACAAACGGCGCACGATTGAGACATCAGATACACCACGGCTGCCCAGGCGATGTGTGCGTGTGTGTGTGTGTGTGTATTTATTATTAGCATCGACCGCGCTAACCGGCTGACCAATTTATAGACGTCAGTGCCAGGGGGAAAAAATGTGTGTGTTTTTATGTTTGTAAAAATGTGTGTGTGTTTTTATTATTAGCATCGACCGCGCTAACCGGCTGACCAATGAAAAGACGTCAGTCTTAGTGCGGTTGAAAACACAAAACACTTCTATCTACCATGAACTGGGACCCCGTGAGGGGGCAGCATGGGGGAGGCTAAACTATCCTTCGGATTAAAAACAGAAACAGCAGCAACAGACGAAAAATGCACGCGTCTACCAAGGCTATTACCTAGTACTCGAGTTCGTTTAGGAGTACTTTCACCAGTGTCCTCCTTGTTTTCGCTACCATCATTCTGATCCTCATTTCGACAAGAAGAATCTCTGGGCAGTTCTTCCCTAGCCCTACGTTTCTTGTTGTGGGGAAGGTCATCTGGCTCAAACCCTTTGCTCTCTTCCACTCCTCCATGTTTTTCTGCTCCATCGTCGTCATCCTCCTTTCTCCCCTTTCCCTTTCCTTCGTCTTCGTCACTCCCAAAAGAATTACCCTCACTACTATCGTTGTCGCAGAGATCCCAACCGATTGGCCCTGGTGGAAGTTGGTCGATCAGTAGCCCATGACGTTTGAACACATCGCGAGTTCGCATCGACAGAAAACGAGCTAGCTCGAAGGTAAACCGTCTCCGAATCCTGTTAGTATGAAAAGCTTTCAGGCGAACTAAGGCCCTCTCGTCGTCAAAATTTTCCCGGCAAAAAGCTTCGTGCGCCAAGTGGTTGGCGATAGCAACGATGAGTCGATTGGTGCCTTTGCCAAGACCACCATTCGTTGAAAAAGCAGCAGTAAGGAGGGTAGATCTAGACGGGTTGAAAGTTCCCGCATAGTGATTTGCCTTACTTGCAGCTCGATCTTCGAGGGCTGATCCTGGCTTAAGGATCGACTTGTCGATGCTTCGACCTGCTGATGGGTTGACGATTGTTACGTCGATCAGAATGGACTTGGTGCAGAGGTCCTCTTCCTTCTCTCCTGCGTGTAATCCTGGGGGGATTACCAAATCCATCTTGTATAGCCCCTTTCCCCTACCAGTGCCTGTGGTAAAAGGGGAAGAATCCTCAACGGCGATGGGCATATGGCACTCGCGCAGTGTCTTGAGGACCACTCGAACCATCCTGTTATGGAGGAAGGTTGAGGCGCCGGTCTTGGTGCAGACGAGGGAGTGGGCTCGGCTCAAGCGGTCCTTGCATGGTAACAATGCACCTGCACCACAAAGTTTGCCTGTGTTGCAGTCTGCTCGATCGTGACTCCCCAGTACACGACCGATTGACTCTCGATATAGATCAGGCAGCATTCTTTCATCTGCTGACAACCCTTGCGTTGTCAACCACGACAAAACTCCCTTGCCTTTCGCTTCCTCCAAGCGGATCAACGCCCTCTTCTTTGGCGTTTCCTCGCCTACTACTTTCTGCAAGTCTGTCTCCACCATGTGGCGCACTGCTGCATGAAGAGGTTTCGAAAGGAGAGCTTGGGCTCCAAAGACTTGGTAGTGTTGACCAAATTCATTTCGGCTGAAGGTAGACGGTGGTTGATGTTCTACGTCAGGGTTTCCATCTTCACGGGGTTTTCCCGCCTTCCCTGCTTCCAACAAGTAAACTCCTTTGAGGGCGGGGGTTAACTCATCACTTGTGGCAAGTTTAGCCCATGACTGCCCAACAGCTTTTTCAAGCTTGTCTTTGGTGATGATTTCCTCTAGCTTCTTCAGCGAGTCAATCAGAGCCAATCCTGTCGGTAGCTGGGCAAGCCGGGGTAGACATTGCTCAACTGTGTATCCTGTCGATGCTTGCACTGACTTGGAGAACACCAGCGCTTGCCCTGCCACAAAAGCCGATTCTCGAATGAGAACATTGCTCGTGATTCCTAGTCCTCCTTCTCGCATGGGTAGGTGCACCTGCGCCCGAGCTGTCCCTTTGAAGAAATCTACCTCCTCGCTCTTCGTCGGGTCTGCGCGTACCTCTTTGACCGTTGGTATTCTCATGCTGTCGGCCATCTTGCCAAGGACGATCTTACTCATTGCCCACATCATCATGTTGTCATGTATTTTTGCGGCAGAGTTGGTGATAGACGGTGCAATCGTCCTCAGCAGATGGAACAAACGTGGCACACCAGATAAACGCAGCAGTTGATAGCTGGCTTGAGGGTCGTCAAGCGTTGCTAGGCGGAGTATCAATTCCGCCGGGTCACCACGGGCGATTTTGGAAACGAAATTCCTCTGGAACTCCTCTGTTCCTACTGGGATCCCGACAACTGGCATGCCACCTTCAGCAACTGACAGACCAATTTTCGTCAATTGTTGCTGTTCGTCGTTTGTCAAAGAGGACATGCAAAAGACGTGTGTGTGTGTGTGTGTGCTTATTATTAGCATCGACCGCGCTAACCGGCTGACCAATGAAAATACGTTAG